AAAAGATTTGATTTTGAAAATTTAAGAAAAAAGCTAAACAAAAATAATTATTCCGAAGAGTCTTTGGGAAATAATATATTCCGTAAAAAATAGTAATAAGTGTTAACTGGTTGTATACAATTCTAAAAACTTCGTCAAAGTGTACTGGTGAAACCGCCAACGAAATACCGGACATCCATTTTGAAACTTCCAGCTGATTCTCTGAAGACACAGAAAGCGAGAATGAATATTATCAGAAGTAATCCAACGTTAAAGTACTCCCAACTGGTATCACCATTTAAAAATTATAGAAAAAACTAGGGAAAACGAAAGGAAAATTCAACGAAATACATGGAAGTGTTCCGATTGTTGAAAGGACGAAATATTTGTGAATGATAACAGCATCCTGGTCAGCATGTATTGTATGTTGTATAACATTTGCATTGCTTTTGATAATTATGCGATGCCAATTGAAGGTTACCTCTCTAACAGAAAACTTTGGCTCTGTTGCCAAAAATTTGGACAATTGATTTTCACAAGCGGACGAATAAATGGTAATCGCATGATGCGAGAAAAAGACTGTACAGTGAATGCATGAGAACCTCTCAACTCGAAGCCCCTGTAGAGCGACTTTCGAAGTGTGTGTTCTGGCGTTGTGCTAATGAAACACAATTCACCCCCAGTTGGCCAAAATTGGGCACTTCTGGTCATTTGCTTTCTGCATACGTGCCAATGGCTGACAGTGTAGATCCGAATCAAGGGTTTTACCTTAGAGAATCAGCACATAGTGGATGATTCCTTACCATCTCCACCAAACACAAAACAAAACCTTTCTAGCTGTTAATTCTAGCTTGGAGACCGTTTGTGCCGACTAACTTTTCTTCGACGACGACAGCTGTTATGCAATATTTAGCTCCTGGAAAATCGAAGCAGTGATTTTATTTTTTTTTTTTTCTAATTGGGAAACATCAATGTAAATTATCTCAAAAAAAGGTGAGCGTAATGTATTTCGAGCAGTTTTTTAATTATATTTTGTGCTTGAATTTTACGTTTGGCCAAAAGTTTGCATTACAAAATTTTATGGCCTCTTGAAAAAATGCCTTTTTCTTGTCAGCGCCACGGTCAACACTTTGTTGTTTTTTTATTAATGGTTGGTTTAGGTTAAGAAATCGCGTAATATCATTGCTGATGTTGATGTAACGTAACTTATTATTGTTTTTAAACCTTTTACGCTGTTTTATTCATGTCAAACTGAGATAAAATGGTGTAAAAAACGAGTTTGAGTGCGCTGTTTTAAAATATTGCCTCCTAGATTAGAGACCTATCAAAACTAATGCTAAAGCTCATTGCATTATTAGGGTAAAATTTGGTTTGGCCATAAATGTTCACCTCACTAAATATCTGAAAAAAATGTGTCTAGTTGGAGTAGTCCAGTTCCTTCATTAGAAGTCATGTAAGGTTTCTAACTTGAGGTACATACGTTTGCATATTATTTTGACAAATATTGGTTGTCAAATATCTCCCTTCCGCTTTTTTGTCTTTTGAATTTCGCAGCTATGTACAAAGCGCTACAGAGCTCGTATCTGGCAACACTATAAATAATTTGAAAGGTGATGATTAGTTTGAATAATGCGTTCAACAGTTATAGACGTGTAAACATGGAGTTCACTAACGCCAAAATTCGCGCTATTTTAAAGTTTTCCTTCGTTAAAGGCAAATCCGCTAGAGAAACGTTCCGTGAGAATAATGGTGTTTTGAGGGATGGTACTCTATCACTTCGAACCGCGGAGGAATGGTTTCGACGATTCAGAGCCGGTAAAAACGACACCATGGATAAGCCAGCCGGCGGAAGACCTGTGACGACAAATACCGATCAAATCATGGAATTCATCGAGTTAGACCGCCATATGACACTTCGTTGATGACTCGTCAGAAGCTACGGGAGCTCGGATGGGAGGTTTTATCGTGTGAAGTTGAACTCAAAAGAGGCTTGTGAAAAGTGGCTGTCCGAATCCTTCGCAAATAAGGAGGGGGGCTTCTACGAGGAAGGTATTATAAAGTTGCCGTCTAGATGGAAACAGATCATCGAACAAAACGGCGCATATTTTAACTAAATCCGATCACTGTAACACTTTTTATAAAGCATTCAATGAAGAGCAAAAAGGCAGAAGGGAGATATTTGACAATTTAGGTTCAGCAAAAAGTAATACAGCATTTTTTAAATAGATGGCTTTAGGGACCTGAATCTAGTGCTCTATAAGTAGGATTAAAATATGCTAAATGGCATAAGAAAGCTGATATTTTTTTATCGCTCTATAGTAATAAGCCTAAAAAAGACAGTAGCTATTGTTGTTGTATCATGAGAGTCCTTGGCCAGATATAAATCCAGGTCGTTCCGTTACAAAGTCGCTGGAAGTATTGGATTTAAGTCGCCTCTTACAACAGGCTTGTCTTACCGCGGGTAAATTCTTGAACCACTAACCCGCAGAGTGAAACAAGAAACCGTGCCCACAATCGGCTTACTTCCCCTACATACACCTGCATCTCAACCTTTCTTAGTTTTTCATTGAATATTTGAATTTGTACCACACCAACAAAAACAAGTTTGCAACATAAAAAAAAAATTAAAATAATTTTACAGAAATAAATAAAACGAATTCCCTCAGCAACACCTGAATGCACCGTAAATGGTTTTCTGCCAACTTCTCAACTCATTCACGTAATTTTGTGCAAATTAAATAATCTGAGGAATTTTCTTAACTCCACCAACCAAACAATAGGCCACTTTAGTACCATAAAAAGCTCAGCGGCGCACAAACCATAAGACCAAAACTGAAATTAACACTTAACGTTGCAGCCGAAGAAGGTAAGACACGTCATGGCTAGATTAATTTTCTACGACATACTCGTATTTTGCCATGTGAGTACCAATATTCTGGCAGAGATGACAATTTTCTTGTCCAAATCAAAAGTTGAGTAAATTTAATTGAGTCATAATTTGTAAGAAGCTTTCTAAGGCGCGTCAAACTACAGCCGAGTGACTTGAGATGAGTGTGATTTGGACAGTAATGCATTTGGACGGGTAGATAGAGTAGAAGAATAATAATAAATTAGCTGTTTTAGTTGTTGTTAAATACATATATGTACGAGTGTATGTGAAGACAACTGATTTTTCTTGTTGATTGCAGATTTTTTCGCATTGCAGTACTCATAACTGAATTACTCACACACACACAATCGTAGGTATTTCTTTTGCTGCCTACCTTAGTGGGTACATACGGGTATACGAGGTCTGTTCAAAAGAAAATAGAATTTTTACGCGCTAAGGACATTCGACTATGTAATTTTTTTTTATGTTGGTTTATATATTTTTATCATATGTTGGCGCTATCAGCCACTTGACAACTGAAAAAATTAACCACGCTTTTGTATGCTCCTCGATTTTTCGACTTAAAAATTGTATAAGATTTTGCGTTAAAAATGTAATGAAATGATCCAAGACTCCTGAAATGTTGACTATGGTATTTGGCAAGTCCACTTTGTCTCAAAAAGGATGTTTGAAAGTGGTGCAAGTGCTTTACAGAAGGCCGAGAAGTTATTGACGACGATGAGCGTGCTGGAGTTCCAACTACTTCAAGAAGAGACAAAACAGTAGTAACAGTTAAAAAAAATGGTTTTCGCAAATCACCGAATTACTATTAAGTGAGCTGCAGATCATGTTGGCATATCAATTGACTCATGAAACATGTACCAGCGAAGTTTCTTCCAAAATTGCGAGATTTTCAGCAAAAGTAGCGTTGAGTAAATATCGCTCAGGAGTTATTTAATGATGATCCGGGTCTGCTCTAAAGGGTGATAACTGGTGATAAAATATGGTTAGGACATCAGAACCAAGACCCAAGCATCGCAATGGAAGAAGCGGTCAAATAAACAATTAACGATGAAAGGTCAGAATCGAAGAACGAGCTGATGGCAATAATAAAATGTGCTTCGAGGAATGGAAGGGAACTACTTTGCAGGGCTAACAATGGATATACTTAAAAAGAACTTTTAATTCACGTTTCCGTTTGAACAAACCTCATATACGCCTTACAATGCGCAAAACTGCATCAGCACGTACGAAAGGGCTGACTGTTCACTCCCATATCTTGGGCATGCAATCTACCACACAATCGTCACAAAGTTATATGTAAACCTATGCAATTTATGCAACTTCTGCTTCAGACGTTCAGGCGGTGATTGGCGCTGTGGTTCGTTGCAAATCAGCGCGGTGGCATCTCTTTGATTTACAACGCTTTTTGTTTGCCGCTCATTAGGCGTGGCAGTGAGGGCAGATGTTGCTACTCAGCCGCTGACGCAAAATGGATGGGTTTAATATAAAGCATAAAATTTTGTACAATATTATCATTAGATTTGCAAAGACTTAACTTTAAAAATAAAAATATTTTATTTAATGAGCATTTTATTTTGCATAATAAACTTAACAAAAAATCATATTTATAATATAATAAAATCCAGTAAGAGATCTTATCAAAAGAGCTTTTATTTTAATAAAGAGCTTTCATCCTCTCTAAAAAGCTTTCACGTTAAGATGAAAGCTGGCAAAATTTATTAAAGATATAAATGCATAATTTACTATTTCGAAGAGTTTTCATTTTAAGAGAGGAGCTTTGATATTTTTTCTATTTTATTTTATTTTTTGCTGTTTAAATAAGTAGATTTTCCCTTAATTAAAAAATAAAAATAAATTAAAAATTTTACTTTGTTTTCACACAGTAAAAGAATTTTTTATTCCAGATAAAATTAAATCGAAAATTTGTTAACTTTGACAACTCTTCGTAACAATAAATTTGTCAAAAAATAAAAATGATTTATTATGGTTTACTATGTTGAGACCGTAAATTAGCAGCGCTATCAGCACATTCCTTTAGAAATCAGCACAAAATATTTTTTAATTAAAAAAGTAGGCATTGCACGTAGAAAATGTCAACCCTTTATTGCATATAAAAGCTCTGTTGCGCCCAAAAAAAATTAGAAATCTTACCAGTCTTTATAAGAGCAAGTTAAACTTAAACCCACAACCCAAAAACCGCAAGCATGAAGCTTTATTATCTTTACGGCGCATTGTTCCTAATATTGGCTGCATTTTCTATGAAAGCACAGGCGAAGGTTAGTAAATTTTAGAAAATTTAGATATTTAGTACATATTTATTCTTGTTGTTTTTCAATTTCAGCCATGTCACGAAAATGATCCTATCGAGCCTACTCCGGAACCAACACCCAACGATTAGTGAAATTAATTTGAGAAACTATATTTTTTGAAAATCTGCTAAATGGAATTTTATAATTTAAACAAAAATATATGTAATCAATAAAATTTATTTCAATGAGCATATAAGTTCTTTTTTTTATTTATTTTTTCCCCATAAGGTTGCTTATGTACCATAATATCTTTATAATTCCTTTAATACTGTTATCTGAATCCGAAGTAAGCCATAAATTCGCACTTAAGTAAGAACAAATGTGCAAAGAATATTTAATTATTCTATAAAATTAAGTTTGTTATATTCTATAGATATAAAAAACACCAAAAAAATTAATATTGTCTTAATATTGGCGTAAAATTGCAAATTAACATCTCAGATAGTAACAGCTTCTGGTAACAACACAAGCAGATATTCAGAATATGCAACAAGTTTATTCATGAGTTTTCCAGATCATCGTCATCTAAACAATTAATAATAAAAATTTAGCTTCTACACACTGTACCAACAAGTTTCATGACCGATCAATGTGGAACCTTATTCATATTAAACATATTCTCAAGCCAACTTTTGCCGAAAAACTCGGTTTTCTTACAATAAAAATGTTTGAATAAGAATCCTTTTAAGTAAGCAAAAAGTAAGGATTCTTAAGAATTCCGATGCACTGTCTCTGAAAATTATATTTTACAACTGATCACAATTGCAAAAATACGACGCCATGATTATAGCGAAGCATCGTTAAGGGGTTGCATACGTGTTGATCTTCAAGACCAAAAGAAAGTTTTTTTTCTCTAATTTTTTTAAAGATACTAAATAAAGTATAAAATTTATTTTGTTTGCATATAAAGTACAATATGTGGACAACATTTGATGAAAATTTGAATGAAAAATAGTATAAGTTAAGGCGTTGGCAGTGTCGTGAAGTAGGCCGTCCACAAAAATTGCTTTCTCGCTAGTCATGATAACTTTTTCAATTTTTGTCTGAAATCAAAAATTCAAATTTTTTCTTGAAGTAGGGGAATTTTCTTTGTTCTTTCAGGAAGAAAAATTAATTTTAGCGTTTTTTACAAAAGAAAACATAATTTATTGTATAAAATTAGCCCCCAAATTGACTTGTATCATCAGTTAAAATCAAAGATCAAATAAATCCTTCGTTCAGGGACTACAAAAACATGCTTAAAAAAAGTGTGGAAAATATGAACTCGTTGAGAAATTTTGACTACCGATTTCGATAAACCAATATATCGGTTTTAAGAAAAACGCGTTTGAAGTTTCACCATCGGTCAAGCCACGGCAAAGACGGCGGGTTATAAAACTCTCCAATTTCTACAGTTTAGTTTCGATCGACTTGAAACTCAGGGAAAATATTCTTGGCACTTTGTACTTTTATACAAAAAAGTATCAAAAAATGGAAAGACCTATGTAAAACCTTAAGGGTACACAGTGGAACGACCATTTATTAATTATTGAAGCAGTGATATAACATATTTTTCTTCTTCTTTAACAGCGTTGACGTCAGTCACGCGAATGCAGCCGAGTCTACAACAGCGCGCCATTCATGCGCTAAACAGTTAGCGCCAATTAAAAATCCCTTCTCCACCTGAGCTATTCAATGCAGCGGTTAGCTGGAGTAATCTTATCCATCCAGACAACCCGACCTAATCATCGTAACTGCTACCTCTTGATTCACTGAACTTGGTCAATTCCCATACGCAGAGTACCATGAATCTTAAACAAAACCTTTCTGTCAAAAACTCTTAAAGCCGAATCTTCAGGTTGTATATGCATTCGCACCATATGTGAGGACATAACTTTTAATTACCTACTCAGTCCAAAGTAGCACCTGTTGGTAAGAGTGACTTCGAGTTGGATTTTCAGGCCGGAATTGTTGTTGGTATTAATAATGATCCCTAGTTAGACGAAATTATCTATGACTTCGAGGTTGTGACTGTCAACAGTGACTTGGGAGTCGAGTCGCGAATGCGATGACTGTTTGTTTGATGGCAAGTGTTATTTGGTCTTGTTTTCGTTCATTACGAGAGCCATACGTTTCACTTCTTTATTCAAGCTGGGGAAGGCGGATGGTATGTCGCTGTTGTTGCGGCTAATGATGTCAATATAACCGGCAAACGCCAGCAGCTGTACATCTTATAGAAATATCAATAGTAATATTTTCTAGAACTACCCATTAAAGAAATCAAATTCCCTGAAACCTTGTTTGGTATCGAACTGTTGTTATTACTGTTACTTAACGTCAGACTACACAGCCGTACAAGTCTTGCGGGGGGATTCAAACATGGTGGCAGCAGTGGCAGCTGCTATACATGCTGTGGAAGGCTGCTTTAAATTCGACGTAAAGGTTGTGGGTGTTGATCCTCTTTTCATGGGTCTTTTCCAAGACTTGGCGCATGGTCAATAGTTGAGTTACTAGGATTAAAGCCAGACTGATAATATCTAATCAGTATGTTGATTGTGGGTTTTCACACAATAAATTCGATCGGACCTTATACGTGATACTTAATAGGTTTATTTGGGTTGAGCAGAGCACACCTAAGTTCCAGTCGTCGGGCATATGACATTTTAGACAATTTAGGATTCATCGATATCGTTTAACTGCTTTTTTTTATTAAGGGGGCGGGATTACCAATTTATTGGGTGAACTATTAATAAAAAACAAGATGATAGGGGCAATTTGTATATCAGGCAGCTACATCCAGCAGGTTTTGTGCCGGGTAACTGCTGAAAAAAGTGGACTCCTCAGAATAATACATATGGAACGCTTCCAGCTGCGCTCACCAGATTCGCCGCGACATTAAGTAAATCAAGTCACAATATCCGCACATAATAGCAACCAATCGGTTGAGTTTGTATAAGGATTTAAGTATGGAACATTTTTAAGTAAAGATTTTTATTTAATTTAATTTTAATGGAACGATACAAAATATCATGAAGTATTTTGTACATAAATTGAAACAGAAGGCGCAGGAATGTCAAATGTCAAGTAAACTTTCCTCCTCGTCTCAATACTTTTGGCAAAAGCAATTTTTCGTCTACTGAAAATCGTCCTCGACATGATGTGTGGTCGACTGAAAAAACGACGACGAAGTCGATGACGCCAACTATGATAGCAGGAAAAGGCTTACCAGCGGTCCCTGTGTCTTCTAATTATATACTGAAATATCTTTTCACACCCTCGAAGGGATTTTCTATAACTTTTACCACATAAGAACTTCCATGGTTCCAGCAAAGGTCCTAGTTATTCGAAGCTTTTATCGGGAGAGCATGAAACTGGTTTTTTAAAGTACGATTTCACTTAACTCAGTGTGCCCCCATATGTGGGTACAAATAACTTCGCCGGTCTTAAGCTAAAATTTAAATTGCTTTTCTAGAGTAAATCAACTGAATTTCCTAATTAAAAAAACAGAATATAGAAAAAACATTATGAGCCATTTCTGGCATTTTCTATTTAATTCAAATTCGTTGTTATCTAAATTGACTGCAGCATATTCGCTAAAAGTTATTACTTTTTAAAATAAAGACTTGACAGGTAATAACTGCAACCAAAGTCAGTACTTAAGTTGAAAAATTACAGCTGTGTTATTCATATAAACTGAGGTTCAAACACGATTTTTTGCAATTGCAATAGAGAAATTCGCCAAGAAAGCTTAAAATGAAACTCTTCTTTCTGTACTTCGCTTTGTTCCTGACACTAGCGGTGTTTTCAAGGAAAGCTGAGGCAAAGGTAAGCAAATTTTCAGTTGCATATTTTCATATATATGCATACGAGAATATGTACATTTGTATATATTATTTTTTTATTATCAGCCCTGCTTTCCCCCTCTTGGTGAACTTGGCAATTATGGACGTACTACTACACCTTCAGTTAATGATTTATTAAAAAAGATATTGCACGAGTTGAAAAAGAAATATTAACTCTAAGTTTTGTTGCTTTTATTAAAATACAAATAAAAATATTAAATACGAAAGGCAAACATTTTATTTTATCAGGTGTACAACTTTGCTTCCGCCGTTTTTTTCAAAATTTAAAGCTTTATTGCGAAAAAGTGCTTACAGATATATTATTCAAGGTATTGTCCTTCGCTAGCAGCAAGTTTCACCCACCTTTCCGGCAATTTTCGGATCCCGGCCCGAAAAAAGGAGTCCTCTTTTGACGCTATCCATGAAGCAATCCATTTTTCCAATTCTTCGAAGGATTGAAAATGTTGATCTGCCAGGCCGTGTGCCATCGAACGGAATAGGTGGAAGTCAGAAGGGGCGACATCTGGGGAATACGGCGGGTGGGGCAAGACTTCCCATTTCAGCGTTTCCAGGTACTTTTTGACCACTTTTGCGACGTGAGGCCGAGCATTGTCGTGTTGGAGGATGACTTTGTCATGTCGCTCTTGATATTGTGGCCGCTTTTCTTTTGGCGCGCCACTAAAGCGCATTAGTTGTGTTCGGGAGCGATCTCCTGTGATGGTTTCACGTGGTTTTAAGAGCTCGTAGGAAATCACACCGAGCTGATCCCACCAAATACAAATCATAACCTTGTTTGTCGACATCGAAATGACCATTTTTAAAACGTTGAAACCACTCTCGACACGTTCTTTCACTCAGAGCAGCATCACCGTAAGTTTCTGAGAGCTTTCGATGCGCTTCAGCTGCATTTTTTTCGAATTGTAACAATGCCTGCCTTTTCCTCTATTTCCATCAACTAGTACTGCGTCGAAAACTTTCAAATCTGATATATTCTTATCTATCTGGACCACATGACCTAGCCTGCTACATGACTGAACTATCAACTGATGAAGCATATATCTTACGTAAAACTTTTCTCTCAAAAATCTATAAAACCAACTCATCAGATATTACCATACAACAGGACGAGAATGTTGAGCGACTTCCAAAGTTTGGTCTTCGTTCATAGAGAACTTACTTACCCATGAGCTTCGCTCCATTATCCAGTATGTAGAAAACTGAACTCACGGTATGGTTATGGAGGCCAATAATGTCAGTATCGTCGGCGTACGCCAGCCTTCTCTATACAGCAATATAT